TTGGTCTGGAGATATTTTGTGTCAACCCTATTCAGAGGAATGACATCAATATTCATTATTTTGCATAAGTGGTATTCTACTTTGAATAATACCTTTAATTTTACAAAATACAAATGACCTAATAAAATTTCAAAAGTACCTCCCTCTTCGCAAGCAGTTTCCATTGTCATCTAGATAACTGCCTCTCTCATGCTTCTGAGACCCTCAAAACTGCCTGAATCTACTCCCATTTTGAATTTCCCCACAACTGTTTTACTGACAGTCTTTGTAACTTGACAAAGAGGTTTCTTTATCAAGAGGCCTCTGCCACAATACCTGTATTAGTCAGGATCTAGTTATATAACCCTCTCACCTGTCTACACCCCAGAGGGTGATGCCCTGTGTCCCCGTGGCTTCAGCTCTCACTCTGCACTTATTAGCACTCATAAAAATGCAACAGTGGCTCCCAAGCCTAGCTATGTGTCAGAATCATCCTACGTGAATATTGGAAGTTCTAGAAATATAAAGTCAGAATTTCTGGAAGAAGGTCTGAAAATGTAGGTCTGCTAGGCTTGGGAGTCAATGAAGTATGGTTTTAGTTGGTTTCTATTGTTTCTGTGTTCCGAATGAGTATCTGCGTGCAACTAAGTGCATGGGTATGTTAAGTAGGATTGGCATTTATCTGCAAAGGCATCTGATGTTTGTTAAAATGCAGATACCCATGTATGAGCCCAGGCAAGCCTACCTAACCTGACTCTGTATAGTATGGCCAGGGAATTTACATTTAAGCAAGAGTCCCATGTAAGAAATTTTCCTGTAAAGAAAAGCCAGTGCCCTTTGAACGTCAGCTGAGACCTCCCCGCCCCCAAAGATAGGCCAAGTAAGCTCAGTGAGGCAGGCATACTGGGTGTGTGGAATGGCTAAAGCTAAAGGGAAACTGGTTGCCCATAAGGAAGGGTAGGCATTTCTTTGCCTGATCAGTTTGTTGCTATTTGGTCATAACAGAAAATTATTCAGGACGGCGAGATAGCTCAGCGGACTAAGCACCTGCTTTGGCAAGCACAAGGGCAAGGGCTCAATCCCTGGTCCCACATGCTTTGCTGGCTCCACCCCAGGGGCTTGCCGAGCCTGTGACTAAGTCCAGGTGTGATGGCACACACCTCTAATCTCAGCACCGGGGAGGCTGAAAACAGGAAGATCACTATGAGCTGTGTAGTGAAACCCTGTACCAAATACATAAATGGAAAAAAAAAAAAAAGAAAAAAATGAATGATTCAATATAGCTTGAATTTTTCAGAAACTAAAAATAAGGAGAAATTTAATTCCTCTTAGTTCTGACACACAGTGACCTCTGTCTCTGAGAGTTTCTCCACGTACTCAAGGTCTGTGGTGATTTGCAATGTCACATGTCATTAAGAACCTGACCAAGTTACCTATGATGGATTAAACAATATAATTGAATTACAGAGGTACAAGGTCATATTGGTTATCAAAGCCACTCCTAGCATTTCATGTGTGGATTCTCCTCCAAGCACTGATGATGCCCAAATGACTTCATCTCTCTTCCAGATTTGCCTGCACTACACATGTCCAAATGTATTTTGGCTACCACCATTTAGGAAATCCTACTAATATCCCAATGCAACGTGCTCTAAAATAAAACTAACTTCTTCTAGTCACCTTTCAAGTTGTTCCTAGATATCTCAGAAATTCCAACCACTAAAGCCAGCAACATGGCATCCATCTTTATCCTCTGCCTTTCCTTTTAAACCTTACATTGAATCATCGACCACGTTTTTGCTAAGTCTGCCACCAACAGCATGAAACCACAAGCCACCCCCTATTTTAGGCATGCTTTGCACATCCTTTTCCTTTTGAAAATAATGACACACCACACTATTTTATGATCAGCCAACCTGATTTTACAAAGAAAACCTTGCCTTTTATATGGGTCAAGACCCAGCTAATCCTTCCTCTGACTGAGGGTGGAGCTGACTTGGAAGATCGTATTCTGAGAAAAGATGAAGTTCAGAATCATGAAAGCAACCTTGATGGTGGGGAGAGGGGAGTCTGAGCTTTAGCAAGGGATGTAGTAGGCTCCCTCCCTTGTGTTGAAAGGTAAAGGGAGACTGAGAGCAGCAGTAGATACATGTGTGCAGAGTCACACTCTCTAGGTCCTCTGTTTAAGAATTCCTATCATGGCATCTCTTGTGGTCTACATATGGATCTGGAGAGAAAAAAATTCATCAAAACAAAAATCCTAGAAGTAATGGAGACCAGCTGGGATCATGAGCAGTACTCCTGGCACTCAAAAATCCTCAGCCGGTTCTCTTCTAATGTCAAAGCAATTACAGAGGAGAATATGAAGACTCAAGACTCAACAATCATTTGTAACAAGCACAAAACCTTAGTTAGAAGTTTTCAGTTCTTTCACGAAGTACATCAAACATCCAGAGATTTCACCTTTCTTGGCATCCTCAAAGAACGCTGTACAATTTAACCAGAAAAGTATGACAGAAGTAAATATTAAGTTTTTAAATACCTAGTAAAATCAAATTACTTTCACAATACTACAAAAACAAGGAACACATATTTATTAAACATAACAAAAATAGACTTTAAGGGGTCAAAATTGAGTACTTTCTTTAACAATAAAAATATATAAGAATATTGCAGCAAAATGTAAAATAAACACATTTCTCCCTCTATTTTCAACATTATTTTTCTAATGCCCCTAGGATAGAAGAGACATAAAAACAAGAAAGTAATGATCTGGTAACCTGTAATTAAAATTCAGAAAGAAAATCTTGCCTATTAGTTACCATTTTACTCAAAGGACTATGAAAGGCAAAAGCAAATACATAAGTTTATTTGTTAGTGGTCCAGTGAAGAGGTAAATTGTTTATCTCCCAGTATTTCACCAGATACCTGGCATGGATGATGAAGAAAGAAATTCTTTAAAATATCCAATCTAGGAAAGATAACACCTAGAAATAAGTGAAAATAATTCACAGAGACACTAAAAATAAGAATGTGCAGTGTTTGTGCTCAGTAACACAGGAGTATCACTGCATATTTCATATGTTACCACTTTACCAAGTTCACATGGATTGTCTTTGTAGTACAATTTGTCACAAATTGTGGACTATGTTTTGACACACAGAGAAAAGTCTAGTTCACTTAGTGCATTGGTTCTTGTAGCTCTCAGGTGGGGAGATCTAAGCATGTATGAAGATAAATGAAAGTACTCTACGTTGCTAGCATTATCACTGCCAGTCTTTGTGTCTATCTACAGAATCTTTTAGAACATATACCAGAAGCTAGACAATGCCAGCTCTTTTGATATTAGGTCTCAGGGTGCAGCTTTCAAAGTCATCCTTTGTTCCATTCTTCCTGATTGGCAAACCACATGCAGCAGGTAGTCTATATGTAGAATTTCAAACATGAGCTGTTAATATGCCCAAAACTGTTGCTGCAAACGAGGGGGAAAATATACTAATTGTATCCTGGCCCACTGTTACTCATAATGCCAATTGTATTTTCTATATGGTATGAAATGACTTGTAAAACCATATGAAATCTTCAAATAACTATACCTACAAGTTTTAAATCACATATTTGTCATTAAAAGCAATAATTTTCTCATAACAAACCTCAAACAAAAGCTATATGGTTATACGTCAATAATTAAAAAGTGTTAAACTGGGTGTGGTGGCACACACTTACAATACAAACACGCAGGAGGCTGAGGCAAGAGGACTGCTGTGAGTTCAAGGCCAGCCTGGACTACACAGTGGACCTTGTCACAAAAAATAAAAAATGTTATAAACTTTTCTTTCATTTATTCTGGTATTTCTGTTGGAGTATTGATAATCATTTGAAATACTGTTATATCTATAAATACCTCAAGTTTTAGTATCTGTCATTTTCTTTAAAATATGTTTCTCCCTAATGTTTTCAGGAAAGTTATTGTTCCAGTTTTACAGATGTCATATGAAAATAGTAAGAATATATACCTCCAAAGGATTGCTTCAGAGACTCGTTATGTCATCCACAGTAAGGATATAGAGTTTACAGCACATCACTTATTGAATGCTCAAATGTATTAGCTACTAAGTACACGCAAAATTATCAGCAATTATATTGAGGCTATCAGACATCCATTCTGAGAAGGCCAACTGGGTTTAGGTCTTTTCAGTAGACAAGGACAGTTCTTCCAAGAACTGAAGATTCCACCATTGACACAGGCTGATTCATTTCCCTGAGATGCTCTTCCCTTCCTTTCCTGATTCTGAGCCTCCCAATCTGACTAATTTACCTTAGCTTTTGGCTTAATCAGTACCTTTCCACAGGCAAGCAGCCCCTGGCAGCTCCCATATCTACATTATATTGCATACATATTCAGATACACTCCTTCTACGTGTTCCAACCCATATCATGATGGTCTTCTTTGTCCTCATCCCCATAATGTTTCGTGAGAAGAAGAACCATGTGTATCCTTCTATACAACAGGTAAGTAGAATAGAAGAATATAACATGCGTTCAATAACTGTATGTTGCATAATACCCAGCATCTGAGATCAGCATGATGGAAGAACAGATGTGGAACAGTGAGGATGACTGCTGCCAATGAGAGACAGAGAATGAGAGACAGACAGACAGAGAATGAGAGAATCAATAAAAGTGAACATGAGGTTAAGCTGCAGGGCCAGCTGAGGATGAGAATAGCAAAGTGGGAAGAATACATGAGGGAGGGGCAATCAGCTCTAGAGAAAATCTGGTTCCACTTGGTTAAAGTAATCAGAGCCACATCCAGATGCACTGCTATTTGGACATCTAGCAACCTGCAGCAGGAGAAGCAATGTAAGTCTGTGTTTGTTCAATAGGTAGTAGGACTAAGAAACCAGCATAATGCTCAGGTTCCAGTCTAAGCTTTCAACTAGAGTATTTGACAACCAAAGCCAAGTTATGAGCTTAGAGTGTAAGAGTCCTGTGTAACCCATGGACTCCCAAAAACTTACCAGACAGTTGGGATGCATTGTGCATGTCTTGCTCAGCACCAAATTGCTGTGCTGGGGAAGAAATTTTGATACTTTGGGTACAGCTGATGGCAAATGAACTGGAATGTTCTGATTTGTTACAGCAGTCTCGTCATAGGAAGGGATGACTTTAGAATAATATCTGACAGCATGGAAGGAATTGAGAGAGAGGGCTGCATTTGGAATTCGAGTTTTATGCACATCACCAACAGCACTTTCTGAAGTGGAGCTTGACTGACCTTGAATAAGAAAGAAAACAAGTATCTGTCAGTGCTATATACACAATTCTGTATCTCTGGTCTACAATATTTGAAATAAATTGTCCTCTGCTTCATTTCCTCATGTTATACACTTGTACTACATTATATTCAACAAGTGCTGATGGAAAAAGCAAAATGAGTATTAGAGAAGTCATATTTAATGCAGTGCACACATTATAAATCAGTGCTCATGTGCTATGAAAAGGAACTTTTAGAGAAGCAGAGGATCTCGGTGCCTTCTGAGGTGTGTCTGTGTACTTGGCTTCCACCATAATCAAAACTGGCCATCCTTAAGAAGCAAAGAAAAAAACGTGGGAAAGAACAATGCCATTCAGCCAGGAATAAAGTTAGGTTGGTTTTTCCATTAATGACATGTACTATTTCATTATGTATCTATATATAGATGTTTATCTATACATATCGATATATCTATATTTTGAGCAGTAATTAGAAGACAGACTATTAATAATCTCAGCAATGTAATCTCAACCCTGAAATTTTCTACTGGACCAATAAAAGTGATATAATGTTCCTGGACCTTTGTGAAAAAATATTACAGCAGGTGTACACAGAGATTTATGGAAAAAGAGTAGACTAGGAAAGCTAATGAAGTATAGGCAGATCAAATGCCATTACCCATGAATGATTTGTATCTGTGGGAAACTTTGGCACATTGCAGGATGGGTCACTTAACTTCTACAGCTTTCTCACCTAGATGGTCAGTAAAGCATATGTTTACACTTTTTGTTTCCTAATGGATGCCCTGTTTACCTTCAGAAATAAAGCCCAAGAAGTCCAAATAACAGAAAGCCCTAAACCGGCGAAGTATGTCCTATGACGTGACTTTTAAAATCTTTCTGTTCCTAAGCTAGAAATGCTAAATACAACAATTGAAAGATGGGTAAGAAAAATGATCCATAAATCATTTAAATTAATAAAACCATCAAAATATTGTGATGAGGACAATATAACACATTAAAATATAATGACACAAAATTATGTTTAAAAAAAATCAGGACACAAAATGGTAAGTCCAAAATGATTGCTACCACTGAACATATACCAGAAAAGGACTTGAAGGAAATACATACAAAATAAAGTGAAGAGCACGGTGAGGTCAGCAAAAACTCTGACCTTCCAGGTCGCCTCTGGTTTGGCCAGTGGTCCTCATACACTGAGTCCTCTGAAGAGCGGTCTTTCTGGATAATGTAATGCGATGAGATACTGGGACATGCCATAAAAAGTGCTTCAGCTTTTCTTCAGAATACAGACAGCACTCTATGTATATGAAATACCAGTGACAGACATATGCCCATGGCCTGAACTAAATCTGATTTAATTCGAGCTGATCTAATCATTTCATGTCACACTGGGACACAGCTTCTTGAAGTAGTTTAACTATAGCTCATGGCAACTTTCTTTCCCTATTTTCCTCCTCTCTCCCCTAGGTCAGAAGAAAAGTTTAGATTGACTAACAAAGTCCCGAGGCTTATTTGGTTCTATGAAGAAGAAGGCGACATGCTATTTTTGGCCCTTTCCCTTTTGACTTGAGAAACTAGCCCTAGAAACCTCAATTGTTCTTGTGGCTCCCATTATAATCTACACATGTGCATGGCACCTCTACTATGACACTTAAAATACCAGTGAACCACAGGTTGCTTTTGCAATGCTCTTTGCCACTTATATGTGAACTCCATAAAAATGAAGTTGGCATCCTAACAGAAGAGGAGACAACAAATAAAACACAAAAATAAAGAACATTAGCAGGTGGTAAGTGCTCAGAAGACAAATCTAGCAGAGATAGTGGGTAACAATCTCTTTCACTGTGTATAGAGGGGAAAAGTGTGAAATTTTATCTGGGTGGGTGAGAATGACTCACTGAGAAGGTAATATTTAAGCAAAGATGTCAATATACTTCGACTTTTAGATTTGACCCAAAGAGGCTCCAGTAGATCTCAAATCTTCTCAGTGTTTTAAAAGCCTGAAACCTAAGATGAATCCCAAGGGCAGATAATTAGATTTTCTCATTCTGCATAGTACAAATGACATCAAAACATTTAAACAAAGACATGAAAAAGAGAAATAAATTAAAACATTAAATGTTCAGTACATAGTTCTAAATTAATGTGAATAAAATCAGCTTTCTGTATCTATGCAATCCTCATCTGGGGATTACACATGAATTAAAAAAAAAAAAAAAAAAAACTTTGCAAAGTTCCATGCATTGACTGTTGTCATCACTCCCTAAATAATATAAGGTAACAACTACTTATACAGCATTCAGACTGTATCAGATATTATAAATAATTCAGAAATGATTTAAAAATATGGATAAGTTATTCACAAATACTACGTCATTTCATTTCAGAGACTTGAACATTCACAGATTTTGGTACTCTTAGAGGATCCCAAAACAAATCTCCCATGGGTTCTGAGGGACAACTGTACATCCCCTCCCTTTAGGTTCTATTTTACAGACAGACAGACAGACACCAGTGTGCTTATCATCTACTAGCACGATGATGCTTCCATTAATTAAGGGCAATCTTGAAATCAGCTTCTAGAATAAAGCTTTTTTTTTTTTTTTGAAGAATAAAGCTTATTAATTGCCTGAGGCCACCTTATACTTTTAGCTGCCAATACAAGAGGACTCCTGTAATTTCTCAGCTGCACTTGATCCTCTGGTTATGGCAGCACATGTACAGGAGCCGGGGTGTATAACAGGGCACCCATGGAGAGCCAGCACCCACAAACCACATGCGTATAGGCAGGTCTCACCTTTCACAGCTTCTTCCAAGGAGCTTCCTGTGGCAGGAAGGGAAAACACATTCAGGTGCTTATCAGCCAGGAACTGGAGCCCTCTCACAGGTGAGTAATTGCTTGACAACACACTGTTCTCCCTTAACAGGATTAAAAGGAAACAACAAAACACACACATACACACACACCAAAAAAATTGCACATTTCTCCAGGAAAACAATATAAATATTACCAAATTCAAATGCTCTTCTAATCATTCAAGTTCTAAAAATCCTTGACAGAGCTTCAACTGTGGATTTTTTTTTTTTTTTTTTTTTTTTTTTTTGGCAGAACCGGGGATTGAACTCAGGCCCTTGCACTTGCTAGGGAAGCGCTTATTCCACTGAAACCATCTCCCCAGCCCCAACTATGGATTATTTAAGCATGAGAACAAAATGCTCAACATGGCCATGTTCATTCCTTAGAAATGGCTGGCTTTTCCTACAAAGTTTCTGTTTGCTCACAGATTCTAATAAACCTACACAATCATTTGGCATGTTACATTTCATATCAGTGAGTTTCTTTAAGGACTAAGTGAAAAAGGGCTGGGTTTTCCAGGGCCTTAGATCTCCTGGAGAGAGGAGCACTAGAATTTATAATGTCCCTGCTGGATTGACATAGCCATAGCCACTATAGTCAGGAAAGGCAAAAGCTCCATTTTAAGATCTTCATGAATAACTAAAAGAAGAGTGAATGAAATGGTGAAAGTACCAGCGTAGCCCTGAAAATATTGATTACATCTCCTTATCACTGTAATGAAATGATATACACCAACAATGGAAAAAGTTCACTGAGCCTTAATAAATACCTAAACTTTCATGTGGCCAGGCTCAGTTACTATCTACACCTCTGATATCAGCATGGGAGGAAGATAAAAAGCAGCCTCTGGATTCACAAGAGCCCTGATCATACCTTTCTGCCTTGACTGTGCATGGGAGGGATAGCTGGATGGGCATCTGTTTCCTACAAAACCTCTTATTACTCTGAAGGGCTTCTGTAATCTAAAAAATATAGATATAAGTAGATAAAAATACATTTAAATGATATATTTTTCACATACACAAAAATATACATTTCCAGTTTTAAAAAAACAGAAACAAAGTTACAGCAAAGAACCATTGTCTATAAGGATAAAGTTCAAATCTTTGGGAACTGACTACCTTGATCATGGCAGCTGGAGGGATTTTCTCCCGGACATACTTCACATAATCAACTGCCGCCTCAAGAATTGAAGCTGAGTCATTCTTTCTTCCCTTGCTAAATGGCAAGAGAATGCGCAGCTGCTCACAGCAATATTTGATTCGTTCTCTGAGCAAAGAATTGAAATAAAGGAATAATTAGCCTCATTTTATTCACGTGAACAAAGATGATCCTCCCTCCTGAGTTTCTTTGTAAAGGAACTGCTCACATCTTTACCCACCTAGTCTTTGTTTCAAGCAACGATTATACCCCCAGAAGCCAACTTCCAAGCCACCCATTCCTATGCTTCATAAGGAACCACTGCCCAGACAGTGTCTGTGGACAGCACCAGCACCAGCCCCAGCTTCTGAGCTTAGATCTGCTACAAGGCACAGGTGCCCATCACTGGCGAAGAACACACACACCTGCCCTGTCTGTGGAAACAAATATTCTTCCCTGAACTATCTGTCTCTCTGTCTCTCCTCTGTCTGTCTATCTCTGTCTGTCTTTCTCTCTCCTAGAAACCTAGCAGACAAGAAACAGGATCTTTGTTTCACTAGGACTGAACCACATTTCCAATAGGTTCACTGGCATCTCCTAATAACATACTTATAATGACATGAGCCAAAGGACAGAGAAGAATGCTTCCTTTCCAAGAGGTAGGTATGGACAAAACAAATTGATGTGGAAATGAAAAGAACATCCAGGCCAGTATCAAGAAGAAACTAAACCTTTCATGGGTCTGGTGGTCTGAAAAGTAATTTATAGATGCATATTTGATTATTTTAAGCTCTTAGTGCCTTTGTTCATACATGTATTCATTTAAGAGACATAAGAACCTGCTGTGTATTACATATGGTCTAGATATATAAAGTGACTGCTAATTACTAGCTGGGACTTTATGAAAGATACTTAACTCTCTGGACTCTGAAATGACAGAGCAATTAAATAAAAATCAAGTCTGATATATACTCAATAATAAAATATTCTAGATAAAGAGATATTTTCATTGGTATTTGGAGTTTCTGGGGATTCTTTAAAGGTGTCTCAGGAACTATGCTAAAAAGAAAAAGATGGAAGAGTCAACAATTTTGCAGTAAGTAGGAAGGGTTTTGAAAGTGTTCATACCCTTTAACAAGGTATCTTCCATTTACAAAGATTTATCCTAAGTGACAATCTAAAGCACAGGGAAAAGTTCATACAAAGATATCCATTATAGCTATCTATAAGTAAAATATGGAAAAGCTAAACACAGAACACAGGTGGATGCCTTATGTAAACTATGGTGTATTTGTTCAGTAAAATATCATCTGGCAGTAGAAGTGATATATAATAAAGCTTACTGGGGGAGAACAGGGCACAAGGCCACATCTAAAATACTGTCATAGGCATTAAACAAAGAAAAATGAAACACAGAAAAAGACTGAAATGAAAAGCACCTAGTAATAGTTACTCCTGTTTATGAGTAACATTTTGTCCTTTTATCTTCTATATTTTTCAAATATTTTGCTGGGTATACATCATATAATGAAATGCTGTAGTAATGAAAAATGTGATTAAATATTTTTTCAACATTAAAATAATGTTCAAACATACAAAAGATATGAATTACTTAGTGAACACCTATACATCCAGAGTCTGTAGTTAACATTTGCTACATTTGCTTTATCATATACATATCTTCCTACTGTTGACTTATCAAGCCACTTTATTATACTGAGACATTTAAAAGCTGTAGATTTTTAGTACTACAATAAGAATTTATCAGCAGAGCTTGAATTATTTTATCTTTATGTAAAAGCTATGAGATAAAAATGTGCAAACTTTAATGCACAAACCCATTCGGAGTTTGGACACTATTTGTTAACAGAAACCATAATCAACATTGTGCTCTTTACATTCCCTGCCCGTCATCGACATCACCAGCCCCGTGAGATATCTGCTCCACCCACATTAATTTTGTGTGTCCTGAGAACACAGTCATTATTTTGTACAGCACATGGTAGGGCTTCTTTCACTTCATATAATTTTTTAAGACACTGCTATTGGGCTGCATATACCAGATGTTTACTACTTTGTATTCTGTTGTATAAGTATTCCATAACTTATTTATCTATTTCCTTACTGATGAATGCTTAGGCTATTCCAAGTTTTTTGGTCATTATAAATAAAGCTGCTAGATCATTCTATACATCCTTTTGTGACTGTGTTATTTTTTTTGGATAAATATCTAAGATTAAAATGATGGATTATTTTGTAAGTTTATAAAAACTTTCAGAATTTTTATTAAGTAGTACAATTTTCTACTCACAATCATCAATATGTAAAAGTTCTTGTTAAAAAAAAAATAAGAGTTATTCTGGTGCTGAGAGTGAACCCAGAACCTTTGTTCTGAGTCAGATCCCCAAACCTTGTGCACGCAGATGTGTTGGGGGGAAATTGCTCATGCTGGCCTCAAACTTTGGATCCTTCTACCCTAATCTTCTTTTGTGCTGGGATTACAGGTATGTGTCACCGTATCTCTGTTTTTTCAAATCTTTTACCAATATTTAACACAGTCCATAGTTTTAATTTTGGTTTTTCAAAAGATGTCGTAGCATCTCCTTATGCTTTAGCTTGTACTGCTCTCACAGCTAATGATCTTGAGCAACCTTTTCCTTTGCTTACTGAACATTTAGGTATCTTCTTTTGTGAAGTCTGTGGTCAATCATTTTACCCACATTTTAATTGGATAACAGGAGGTTTTTAAAATTGATTAGTGCTGAGTCTTAGGGGTTTTTTTCATTTTGTTTTGTTTTGTTTTGTTTTAATATGCCCTGAATACCAGTATTTGTCAGGTATGTGTTCAGCAATTTCTTTGAGATGTCTTAGGAGCTCCAACACAATCATGTCATCTACAAGTAAAGGAGTTTTGGCTCTTTCTTTTTAATGTGTAGATCAATTTTTCTTGACAAAATGCAATGCCTCGGACTGTTTAGTGAGAAACAGAAATTTTAAATAATAGAAACCCTTACTTTATTCCTGAACTTTTTAAGAAACAGTACAAATTTCATCATTAAAGGCAAATTTTAGCTACAGGTATTTGCTACAGTCAAGATTTCATTTTTAGAGGCAAATTTTAGCTATAGGTATTCGATAGATGCCCTTTAACAGAGACAAAGAGGTTCTCTTCTGTATCTAGCTACTGAAAAGTGTTTTGTTCTGTTTTCTTGTCTTATCAAGAAAGGATATTGAAAGGGCTGGTGAGATAGCTCAGCAGACTAAGCACCTACTTAGGCAAGCACAGGGACCTGAATTCAATCCCTAGAAACACATGCTGTGCCAGCCCCACCCCTGGGTGTGCTGAGCCAGCTACCAAGACCAGGCCTGGTGGCACATGCCTGTAATCCCAGCACTGGGAAGACTGAATGAAAACAGGAGGATCACTATGAGTCAGCACTACATAGTGAGACCCTGTACCAAATAAGTAAAAAAAAAAAAAAAAAAGGAAGGACACCGAATGTTGTCAAGTTTATTGTGCTGTCCTTGAACCTGGGGCTTTATCCACACTAGACAAATGTTCGGCCACTATGCTACCCCCCCCCAGCCCAAATAAATTTTTCTGAATCTTCTAACAATATATTTCCCCTTTTATTCTGAATTATACTCATTTTTTCACATTATGCCAGCCTTCTTTGTAAAATAAACTTGATGTGATTTACAGTTTATCTTTGTATTATTCTTGATTCAATTTACTAAAATTATGTGTCCCTTATTAAAATATTTGGTCTGTTCTTTATTTCCTATAATGTCTTTGTTGAATTTAGGGTTATGTCGATCTCATGAAACAGAGTAGAAAACGTTCCCTCTTCTATCTTCTTTAAGAATCTGTTCCAGGCTAGAATTACTTCTTTAAATACTTGATGGAATTCACTGGTAAATCAATCATTATGGAGCATTCTCTTTGGTAAGTATTTGATAGCCTGGTCAGTTTCTTTAATAGGTAAGAACAGTGAGATTTCTGTTTCTTTTTGTATCAGTTTTGATAAGTTGTGTTTTTCCAAGAACTTGTTCATTTCATCTAAGTTATTGAACTTATTGGCATAAAATTGTTCAGATATGCTCTTAATGCAAGTAAATATTTACAGGATTTGCAATGAAAGCCTCCCTTTTGTTCACGGTATTGGTAAACTGAGTTCATTCTCTCTTGAGCCCCTACTTGGCTGCCCTTCACATTTACTTAATTCTTTCAGCTTCAGATAGTAACTTACTTCACAAAATTCCAGATTTTTGATAATATAAACATTTCTAATGTAAGCATTTAGTGTGTCCCTAAATTCTGCTTTAGCTTTATCCCATAATTTTTTATATATTATGCTTATTCATTTTGAAATGTCTAATTTTTTTATGATCCTTTAATTTATAAGTTATTTAGAATTGTGTTTTCAGGCTAGGTAGATAGCTCAGTAGAATAAGCATTTGCCTGACAAGCTCAAGGTCCTGAGTTCAGAACATAAGAGAACCTGTACTGTAACATCCTGTAACTCAGTGGTGTCTCATATTTTCTGATCAAGGAGATTATGGGGCCACAGAGGAAAGTGATCAACATGTAAAGTGTGCCTAAGGAGAGTCACACGCAGAGAAAACATTCTCTCAGGCTTTCACAGAGAGCAAACTGGTCAAGCAATGGCCGTGACTCATCCACAAGGCTGACACTAACAAAGGATCTACAAACTGCGGTACAGGGATTCAGGGTAAGTCCTGAGGGGATCTGACTGACCTTGTCAGATACAAAAGTTACATTTCTTGTTATATAGGTCTTGCTTCATCTTGGTCTTAAGCATCCAGCAGAAAAGTATAAAAACGAGTTATAAAAAGGAAAGCCATATTAATATGCTGAGCTGCAAAAGCCTCTAGTCAACAACTTCTGACACTGCCAGTCATGTGTTTAACCTACTACTATTATGGACTACTGGACTATATTGGATTACTTTGCTGAATTCATGCACCTACAATATATATATGGCAATGGAATATCCATCTCTGAAGTAAACAAAAAAGGGGGATATAAATGAAGGACCATTTTGTAGTAAAAAATATCTATCTATCTATCTATATATATATATACAAAATAGCATAGATATACAGTT